ACAGTAAAACATGACTCGTGTTCAAGGCAATTTGACTGTAAAGTCAAAGGTTGTGAGCCAGATGGATTCTGCTTTTACCAGTGGAACAGTACCAGGAATACAATGAAATTGTACCTTTGTCCAAACAGTCATTTTGCAAACTCCTGAGAAACCAAACTCCAAATGGAAATCCCCCAAAAGTAATGAGCTGAAGCTCTTTTACCCTTTAATATAAAGTGGTATGAATTTTACTGAAATTATACTGTAGTTATGATTTTATCATAAACATGGTATCAAATTATACTTTTTAAGAACTTCTTATGTTATTGTTTACTCTTCATTTCCTGCAGCTCTTGAAAGGGTAATGAAGCAAGCAAGTACATATAGTATACATATAAGAAATTCACACATTTCCCAAAGTGTTTGTGCTTTTGGCAAATGGCTTTATTAAAGACTACTTTTATTATCACAGTCGTATTTGCTCATTAAATTATCAGAAATTTTGTTGTTCTTTAGTTGCAGCCTACAGCTCTGCCTTCATTTTTAAAGATGTTTTTTTTTTGTTCTGATTACAGCCTCTCTAGTTCGATCTTTCAGTATTGATTTTATAGGCACTATGGTCACACGGTTCAGCACAAAACCAACTGTAGATTTTTGCATGCTATTTGCCTCTTAATACGATGCATTATTACGTACTTAGCTGGTGCCTTTATCCAGGCTGCCAGGGTTAGAAAAATACAGACACTATAATAAGGGCTGTAGTACAATATTGCACTTTAAAATCCAGTACAGTGCAATAAGATAATAATATTTAAATACACATCAAAAGAGTAATAAAAAGTACAATCAGTTAGCATTACCATGTACAGTATGTGTGGGACTAAGTCAGGGACAGTAGAGATACTGGGCAGAGTTCTCCCACAGTGGAAGAGGGTGGTACAGTATGTCTGGTAAGCCTGGGAGGATCACTAGTGCTGCATGAATAGGTGAGTCTTGGGAAGGCACCAGCATGATGCAGTGGAAGATTAGAAGATGTCAGTTATTCACCTGGATGGCAAACATCCATTAAAACATTAATTTAAATGCTGCATATTAGTAAAAGAAAAGGAACAAGATATATATATAGAACATATCCCAAAGAAGGCCATTAAAATTGTTTTACAAAAGATAAAGTAGGAAGAGAAATAGTTAACTTACTGGCATACTAGCATTATAGCATTGGTTACTTTTAATTATGTATGAGTCATGGCTGGATGAAAAGTAATACTGTCCAATAGAGTAGTTTGAATAACTTGGCTTTTATAGAGCCCTTCTCTCAGTAATTCAAAAATCTCATCCAAGTC